TTAATACCTTCTCTTTTTTTTTGGGAAAAAAAAGACGAACCAAAAAAAAAAAAAATGTTAATACCTTCTCTTTTTTTTTGGGAAAAAAAAGACGAATCAAAAAAAAAAAAAAAAAAAAAAAAAAAAAAAACCCAAGCACATGTGCAAAAAAAATATAAAATAAATAAAAATTCAATATCAAAAAATAATATATTTCTTGTGTAAATATATGACAACTGAATATGTGACAAGGGTTTAAAGTATCATAGCTTTTGCATGAGTCACTAAGACTTTTTTGAGAATTTAAAGAGTTTAAAAGAAAACAATATTGACACATTAATCTGGATAATCTGTTGAATCAAGACGCTAAGAAAATTTCCACTGAAGGCAAGATATTGACTGCGCATAACTTTTTAACAAACACTAACTTCAGCAATCTTAAACTATTCCTTTGTTAGTCTTTACATTCACTCTGAGTGACTTAGGCAGGTAATGTTATACATATTATCTCACTCTAGCATGTGTAATTGTTGACCATCTGTCACCATTTCTTTAGATTTTACTCCAGCAAATCTGTTTCATAAACTTTGTTCCACTGTTATTTTTAACAAGATAGTAAAATTTTTATGAATATAAATACAAGCTATGTGAAATTTTGATTCTATGATGTCCCAACCAGAGTTTCTGCTGCCGCTCCAGGGAAGAGATACTGAGCCAAAGCTTCCTCCTATTATTCAAAATTCAGTGGCATCTACTTTCTCTCCACAGGGGATCTGTGTCCAGGTTCAGCACAAATGAATGAATGGGTCATTACCAGGCCTCTGCAGAACTTTGTGCCACACTGAGGTTGTAATTTAGTCATTTGAGTTGGACTAGGGACTCATCTAAAACTTGGACTTCATGAACTGCAGGACGTTGTAAAAGTGCTCACACCAATTTCCACTTTCTATCATTTTACAACCACAAACTTGAATGTATTTTAGTGGGATTTCATGTGACGGATTAATACAGAACAGTGCAATACTTTAATGGAAGGGATGTGGTACATGGTTTTCAACATGTTTTACATCTATTGGCAATTTTACCCAGAATATCCAGTGCAATCTATTTCATAAGATCTGACTAAATCTGTTTACAGGATATTTCTTAGATTCCCCCCCCCCAGTTTTGACCTTTGACTTGTCCGATTAAGGATTGCCAAGAAGAAAAAAAATGTTGAACAACTTCATAAGAAGTTCCATTTGAAAGTTGCCACAAGCAACTCAAACAAAGATAAATACATTTAAAAAATAAAAGCCAAAGACTTTAGACTGGAGCAAAGGTTCACCTAGTTAACCTAAACATGGAGCCAGAGCGGCAATGGACTGGTTTCGATCAAAGGAGATTTATGTATTCCAATGGCCTAGTCAAAGCCCAGATTGAGAATGAGACATAAGACTTGAAAATTACTGTCCACAGAGACTTTCCATTCAATCTGACTGAGTTTGACCTGTTCTGAAAAGGAGCATGGGCAAAAATGCCAGTCTGTTGTGTAAAACTGATAAAAAAAATATCTCCCAGACGACCTGCAGCTATCATTGCAGTGGGGCTCAATAAATATGTCCTACTCCTCCCACTTTTACATTATAAGCTGTTTTGTTTAGATTTATCACATAAAATGGCAGTATAATATTTTACATTGAAGTTTATGGTTCTTACAAATCAGCATCTAAAAAAGATTTAAGGGGCATAAATACTATTGCAAGCCACTCTCTATATATATTGAAAGATTACAGCAATGGAAGCAAGAGCAGCAACAACAATTTTGACAACATGTTTATACTGTAATAAATAAATGGCACACAGAGTAGAAAACCTAAAGAATGTCATCATTTTTATACAATATCTGCCTGTCAGTGGTAGACATTGTGAAACACAGTGGAAGCAGCTTAGGACGTCTAAAAATTCATCACCATGCCGTCATCTGTCCTGTAGCCTTCCATCTCAAACTGTGCACATCTCTTCACAACTCCATTAGAGGATAATGTTTGTATTTTTGGTTCAGCTAACCTGTCGTCGGAACACGGATTAAACTTTTATGGGTGGCACAGTAAAGCTGGAGTAAAGCCTCAGAGGGGATCTGTCTTCCAGCAGCTGCATGCTAAGGAACTTACCCCGAGACAGGCGAGAAGATTTGGGGATGATGCTTCCAAGCCAACACCCTCCGTAATTACCCTGTGTGGACAAAATGACACTTATGTGTGGCAAAACGTGGCAATTTCTAGCGTTTCACCCTACAAAATGAGGACAAAAAGAGTGGAAGATGAGGAGAAGGGATAGTATGTACTGACTTTGTTCCTCACAGGCAGACTGACTCAAGCCTGACCCGTTTGGCTGAGTCATAATATAAAAAACAAGATATTCACCAGAGGGGACACACTCACACAAAGTCAAACTTCTTAATTCGGGCTTTACTTCTCTACAAGTTTTCTTGTAATGACATTAAACCTTATCACTTCAAGGATAAACTGTTAAAAAAATTTTGTTGATTCATAGTTTCCATTTAGGTCTATTTACTGGCAGCATTTTATTTCCATTTCTTCTGATTTTGCATTTTCCCCACACATATGTCCTTTAGATCATCAAGCAAATATAATTATCAGACAAAGGTAAGCTGTGGAAATACAAAGAGGCAGTTTTCAAATGATTTCATCATTTATCAAAGAAAAATAGCTACCAAACCCAACATGTGAAGGAATAATTGCCCCCTGAGCCTAATAACCGGTTGTGCCAGCCTTGTGCCATCAAGCGTTTGCAATAGTTGGCAATGAAACTTCAGCCCACGCTGAATGTCTTATTTCAGTCACATTAAAAGGGTTTAAGAGGATGAACGGCCTGTTTCAGGGCACAGCATCTCCTGTGGATTTGAAACTGCTGTATGTAACTTTTGTACAAATATGTTTTTTTCCATATTTGTGAAAACTGTCACCTTGGCGTGACAGAGTATGAGGCAGATAAGCTGCGAAAAAATGAAGTCCTTCCTCCACTTCCTTGAGGCATATTGGGATTTACAGAAACGCACCTGGTCAAAAACAACCAATCAGAGCCAGGAGGAACTTGTGTATGCGCTGCTAAATTGTGCTAACAGCTTACCAATTAGCATAACTTAATAAGTTAATGTACCATCAGTTGTAGCAAATTGCTATAGTTGATGGTACATGCCATCACCCTCCATGTCTGACTTGTGGTATGTTCTTTTCCTGAAATGCTGCGGTAATTTTAGATGTAGCAGGATGTACTCGTTACAAAAACATTGGCTTGAAAGGAGTTTCTGGGAAATCTGAGACAGGCCTTTTGTTTCTTTTTGGTTCCACCACTGGGTTTAGGTAGAAACTCACCCATAGATGCAACCTTTGTCCAGTATTTTTGTCATCGTTACATCAAAAACACTAACCTTAGCTAAGGCAAGTTGGGGCTGCAGTGTTTTGCTCTGGCTTCTTCTATGACCTCCTGAGTAGATTTCCAATGCATTCTGGGAGAAATGTTGATAGGCTGGGCTCTCCTGAAAGGTTCACCTCTGTTGCATGTTTTCTCTTTTTGTGGATAATGGCTCTGGCTTTTTGAGATTCTGCAGCCTACTTCATGCTGCCAGACAAGTTCTACTGGGGTGATTTCTTGACTAGACAGGTCTGGTATGAATCACACTTGTGACCCAACTTTCCATAAGATTTGTAATCATTGTTAAATTATAATTTAGGAGGAGTAATTTTTTATAAAAGGCCAGGTTGGCTTGGATTTATTTTCCCTTCCAATAAATGATATAATTGTTTCAAAACTCAACTCACATTTTTATTGATTGATCATTTGAAACATGCAAAAACAAAAGCAGGACAAATCTGTTCGAGGGGAAATACTTTACTTTTCAACAGCACCTTTTTTATTAACCCCTTCATGCATAGTGGTCACTGCAGTGGACAGCTATCTAAAAACCATTTTCTTGTGCTTCTTGTGGATTTTTATGTTATAAATGCACACAGACCACTGAAGTGGACACTAATGCATCATAAAATACACTATCAACTACTGGCCATCAGCTGCAAATGCAAGAAAATGTTTTTGTTAAATCCAATATGGCCGACAGACAAAACAGCACGCCAACCAACTCGGTCCCTCCTTCTGCTGTAGACGACTCTGGCAGGCAAAGAAAAAAAATACTGTGACATCAGATAACCCCTACTACTGATGTATTTTTCAAACAACAACTTTCTATTTGGAGAAAATTACAATTGATCATCTAAAAAAAATAAAATAAAATGCAATTTTTTTTCTACCGTTTTTTTATGCCTTAAGAAAATAACAAAAAAATTGGAAAAAAAAAATCATGACACAAAGGATCATAATTCATGCATGAAAGGGTTAATTTTGCTGATCGGCAAAAGGGGAACGTTTTCGGCTCTTCAGTGATTAATTCTCTTCTCTAACCTCCTATTGCATTTCTCTGCGTTTAATATTCCAGGTCAGAGCCAGTGCTATTGCCCAAGACCAAGACCAGAGTTATGACTATGCCAGCAACAGTGTCATACTTCATCTGGATGCGGGTGATGAGGTTTTCATCAAACTGGATGGGGGCAAAGCTCATGGGGGCAACAGCAACAAATACAGCACCTTCTCGGGGTTCATCCTCTACGCCGACTGACGACCGGGCAGAACAGGAGGCTCGGAGGTCAAAGGTCCCAGCCGCAGACATGTACTTCCTGACTTCCACTTGGCATTCTTGCAGTGAGGTTAATGTCACAGTCACCGCTCCACAGTCTTTAAAGTAACGTAGTGATGATGCACGCTGCAGTTTTGTAGTTTTTCGCCAATCTCTTAATCTGTCTCAATCCAACATGAATACATACTGGGTGCCTATGCTGCTAACATTATGGACATGTGTCATGCGGTAGCAACTGTGACAGCGCAGAGAGGCCATGCCATCATTCCTCAGCTGTCATGTCAAATTCAAGTCTGGAAATCCCACAGTGGCGGAGGCCTCAGTGTTAGTAAATGTGCTCTCTGGGTTTACTGTATGTTATGGTTCTGTCTTTGCTTTCACATGCTGTCTGTATGATAAGATGTTTTCCATCAGTGGAGGAGGAGTCCTGCCTCAAGAAATTTGTCAAAAATTTGGATGCAAGAATGAGATTATGATGTCTGAATGCCAGAGTGTAAGAAAAGGTTCCAATGTGACGATTTGAAAAGGCGTGTCATACATCGGACCTGCATTACATCACATATCGGCGCCTCTGATGAAGATGTAGAAAAAGTCTTGAAATAAATCTTCTGTAGCATAAGTTTCACAAAAACCTACTTTATTGCAACTGTAGATACTGTAAATTATTTTTTGCCTTACTTCAGTTTTCATGTTCTCTTGTCTTTTCCATTCTGAAGACGGCCTTCATGTCATATATTTATACCCCATGAAAACTGGACGTCACAGACCAAACATTAAGAATGATGACTGCAAGCAAGTAGTTATAGTCAAGCCTGTTGTAGCAAGTCTAACCCTGTTCATATCCTTGAGGCCCAATGTCTTGGCAACATCCGTGTCTCACTCAGGTCAACACATTGGTCACCATCCAAAAAAACCCCTAAAAGTCTCTTAAACCACATTTATATGCCAAACTGGATTGTGCAGGTGGTTCATTAGATGCTAAGTTCGTTCGTTAAGTGCTAATCAGCCCAGGATTAATGTGCTGCATTGATTAGCACCTCAATATGTAGTGCTATATACCGTACACAAACGGAAGCACAAATCTTAAAGATACTTAACAGTTTTGAATCTCACTGCAAAGAGACCCAAAAAAATTATAAATTAGCTTCAAATTGTAATCTCCTAAAAAGAAGAGTGACATGTTTCAAAACAGCGTTACAGCTTCTCTGATATTCCAGTTAAGTCAAGGCAAGCTACGCTGCTCACGCCGGATTTGATCATTTCCGATGTCCTAATGTAATCTTTTCCAATATAACACGAGTTTATTTTAAGGCTATTGACACATCTTTACCAGGAGAGCTAATAAGAGTGGTGGGTGCTGTGTGTTATATTTGGCATATTGTATAAAATGTAAATTCATTATTGACTCTGTATCTCAATACAGACAAAGCATTATCAACCTTACACATTTTATTGTGTTTCTAAAAACAAAAACTTAATGTATTGATTGATGACTGTGTGATTTTATTATTTCCTGTGCAGGTTTAATTATTTGACCAATGCATGTAAAGTCAAAATGTTTTGTTTCCATAAAATGATAAATAATGATTTAAAACTGTATTGAAAAGCAAGACGTGGACAATATTTGCTGCCTTTACTCACAAACTTCAATTAAAAGAATAACGTCTTCAGCATTTACCAACATTATACACAGTTAGTGTCACTCTTCTCATCAGGTTCACTGATAAGCCACTCTGATCTCCTCATTAAAGTGTGAAACAAGCCTTTAGTCCTTCAAATGTTAAACAAAAAGAAGAATCACAGCAGCACAGCAAGAGCCAATCAACACGGAGGACATCACAGCTATGTTAAATGCCAAATGAAGCGGGGGATTATTGTGATTTACAATCAAAGATGATATGTTGGTTTTGCTCTTTTAATGGGTGTGGATGTGGCGAGATACGGCAGGAGCGAGTTAGGAGACGGGTGTTCGGACAGATCACAACAAAGCTTAGATCTGCGCTGCAAAGTGATTGGGGGGGGGGGGGGGAAAAATTAGGCCCTGCCGTGACTGCAACACAACTGTCAGAGACCAGAAAACAGCTCTAGGGCATGAACTGTTGAAACTGTCCGTTTTATCAAGAGCTTCTTTGACGATATGAAATTCTTTGGACACGATTCACCTTTGACACGGGCCACCAAGCTGTCCCTTATTCAGTTTGAAGCACAAACTTGAAAGTTCAAAAGTAAAAAGTTAGGGATTTTCTTAGATATGGAAGCAAAGGATTAATTCAGTGCAACATCATTAAAAAAAAAAAAAAAAAGAGATCGCCACAATGACTTCTACTGTCTTGCCTGTTATCTTTTTAACTGCTGTGTGCATTAAAAGCCAGAACACCCTCTGGTCTAAACCGAAGCCTGTCTTAAGACAGCAAAAAAAATTCCTCCAGACACAATTAAGACTGAAGTTTTGTGCATAGTCAGAGGTCAACAGAGCCACACGGCCGTATAGAATGCCAGGCCAGCACAGGCTGCTTTCTGCTTGCAGGGTGAATGAGCACATCGTCACATTAGAGATGTCACGACGTCAAAGACAAATCCCCCCGGTGGTGGGAGAAGCCGAGCTCTCGCTGCACAGACCCCAGGATGCAGCGGATTTTCTTGGAGTCTTTGAGTGAAAGTGTATCAACAGCCTGCAAATATTGAACACTTCAAGCAAATTATTTTGTCTGAGTGATCATCAGCAAAACACAGGTTCTGTCTCCTTTCTTTCTGATAGCAGCCAAGAGGCTGCTTCAGTTCGATGAATGAAAATAGCTTTAGACATGTTGCATGGATTAGAAACAAAACACAAAGATGTACAGAAGTGGTGCCCCTCCTGCATTTTTCCTGTTTTTGGATCACTTATGATTTCCTTTATTAAGGGTAAATACAAAATGGCTAATGTGAAAAAGTAAACCTAATTACTGGTAGTAAACATTAAGTACTTTTGATGACAAGCAATCAGTCTTATGATGCAGTGGAGGGACTTTTTGGCCCACTCTTCTTTGCAGAGTTGTTTTAATTCAATTTCATTGTAGGGTTTCAAGCATGAAAAACCTCTTTAAGGTCAAGCCAAAGAGTCTCAACTAGATTCAAATCCTAACTTTTACTAGGCAATGTCCATTTAGGGATTTTTTTCTCCAGTTATTTAGAGGTGGGTTTGCTGGTGTACTTTGAATCACTGACTTTGATTTTCTAAAAGAGCAAAATTCATGGTTCCATCATTTATGACAATTTGTTCAGGTCTTTGTGCTTGATTGACTGAAAAGCAAAAACAGAAAAAATTTGGAGACACTGGTCCCAAAGTCGCCCCTTGGGAGTCCTTCGGGTGGGTTTGAAATCTCTGCTGCCGCCTCTAGCGCATTCATCGCAACAAGACACAGATTTAAGCTTTCTTCTGGGAGGTGCAGTAAGCTTCTTTTTATTTACACTCTTTCACAGAGCTTTGCAGATATTTGAAGAATTTCATCTGGATCTATTTTCATAGCACGTAAGCTGGGGGGGATTTGCCATATTAAGTCTCGGCAGTGGACTTAACATAGGTAATCTTAGGTTTATGCAAAAGCCACAGGAAGAACATTTTGAGTTGTTCATTTACACACGTCGCCTTACAAGGAAACAGAGACAGCTGCAGTCTGACATTTGCAGGGGCAAAGTTGTTGAGGCGTGAGTCTTATCAGGCTACTGCAGAGCGCGCGCACGGACCCTCGCAGAGACGCGCGTGCGAGTGTGTGGGGTCAACGCTGTACGCGTGCACGCCTTCATGTCTCCGTAGAGACGGGACCCGGCCTCCCATGAAATGTCTGAAGTGACGTTAATGAGCCCTTGCTGTTGTTATCTTGAGTATTCCTACTTAACTCACCAGGGGGAGATCCGAGTCAGAGATAGATGTTTTAACTGTCAGGCCAAATTGCCCTTCATGCCAATGCACACTTCCTACGACGAAACAAGCGAGCCACCTTCCCACACTCTTCAGCGGCGTTTATTGGTGTGGGCACGCAATCGTGACGTCTGTTTCTTACTACGGGTTTCGCACAGCGACTTAAAACAATCTATATTTTCTCCCTACTTATTCATTATGACACAGTGCCAGGGCTCAAAACAACACAACACAAACACTCTACACATGCCAGACTTAGTTAGAGGCTGTGCTTTGGATGCAACAAAAAAACGCTGATTATATTACGGTCACAAGTGGGTCATAAATGGGCCAAACATGTCAATGAGAATCAAACCTTTGGAGAAAAGTCTCCACGTAGTGAGCCTATCCACCTGTGTGAAAAAAAACCAAAAAAAAAACCTTCTCAGCACCTTTTTGATGTCGATAACCACTGACGTAGAGCAGAATCTTCCCTGCTGCAGCGCCGTCTCTTTCAGATGTGTCATCTCAAGGGTCACCACAAGCCCGAGTGTATCACCTTGGATCCTAAAAATAAACGGTAAGTGTTAACGTACACTGTAGCTGAACTCTTTCCTCAGGCAGCCGCAAGATCTGTGGAGCAGGAAGCCTCTTGCACTTATGCAAGATGAAGTTTGCAAACATGTCAGCAACACTGTTTTTTTAAGAGGGGACAAGAGTGACCAGAGGACCTACAGTGCTTTGCAAAAACGTTCATGCCCCTTGGACCTTTTCCCATTTTGTCACGATTCAGCCCCAAACTTTAGCATGAACGCAATAAATAACAGTGAAGTTGAAGGGAGCGGATGCATGTTTTTAAAACGTTTTGCTAATAAAAATCTGAAAATTGTGGCCTCATTTAGATTTGGATCCCCTTTACTCGAACACCGCTTAGTAAAATCCAGTGTTTTGGATGCAGTGTTTAATTCATCAAATAAAGAGCATGTCACACTGTGAACCTACTAAGACATTGATGGAGGATTCAAAACGGAGGCCAGAGCAGGTGACTCAGAAAAGATTAAACAGTTTTTATAATAATATTGAGAATGTGCGAGCAGGAACAGACTCTGCAAGAAAGTTAGGACGATGAGTGATAGGTAAGGCAATCAGAATGTAACATTCAAACAAGGAGAAAAGATTTACCCGGGTCATTTCCCAAACTTTCCTCTTCCAGGACTTTGTTTGGCTAGAATACTTGACAGAGAGAAAAGTCTTTGTTTATTGGAAATTGTTTCAGCGGGACTGTGCCGAGAAGAGTGGCGAAGCCATGGAGAGAAAAAACTCCAGCAGCCATGAAAGCTTGTTTACACTCAGCACTACAATGGTCAGGTTTCACCATGAGAAAGCAAATGATCACTTCGTCCACAATCCTTAAATCTGTCGTCATCTATACTGGCTAAGTCAGCAACTGAGATGAGAGATGAGTCAGAACAAAATCTCTCTGATCAGATGAAACCAAATTTAAAAAAAGAACAGGTAATACTGAACATTACCCTGAACTTACCTTCCTCACTATGAGGTGTATGCTGTCACCATCCAGTGTGACTGAACTTCAGTTAGTTAGCAAAGATCTGTTGATCAGGTAGAGACACAATCCCCCAGGTTTTAGGGACACGTGCCTCTATAAAGTCACAAATTTTGAAAAACAAAATTTCCTTCAGCTTTACAACTACGCACCACTCCATGACAGCTTATAACTCAGTAAAACACTTTGGTGTGTGACCATATCATGACAAAATGGGAGAAAGTTTCAAGGAAGTACAAAAGAAGGCTTAAAACGATCAAAAAGAAGCTAAAAGGGTTGTGATCAACTCTGCATCAGTTACAGCTGTAATTACAGGGTATTCAACGAGTCATGGCACCCCTAATCGCAGCTGCTCACAGCAGCTCCCGCCTCACTGCCCACTTCAAATGGTGCCTCAGGCATCAAGATCCTTAAAGTGAAGCTCTGAAAAAGTAATTCCACCCCAGATCTGATTAAAGCTACAAACGAGCTCAACTAATATTTTGAGGAGATTGCCTTTACATCAAAGCCATAAACCATTTTTTAATGCTTAAAATCTTCAATAATTTTCAGTGGTAATTTAATGTTCTTCCAGCCATGGATTATGTTTAACCTTTCAGTGGCATTCCTGTTTTTCTATTCTGTTGGATTAACTCTAGACTTGGAAGTGGAGTGGTCTTTGTTCCCAGAAGGATTTCAAAACTATAATCTGACTATTTTAGAATAATGGGATTTTTAGAGGTCTATAATTATCTTCAAGATTTCTTGCTTGATTTCTGTAGATTTTGTCAGTAGGGCTGCATTGTATGAATCCAAATAAGATTTGTGACATGTTTATAAAATTACAAAACAGATAAAAAGGCTGTTGTTGGGATTAAATTCCAAGAAAGCCTGGATTTAAGATAGTTCATTACAGGTTTTCAAAAACATTGATGAAGAACGCCATATTTGATGGCTACAGGGGTAAATAACTTCAAATTGTGTTGAATCCGTCTAGGTTTAGCATTGTCTTCTTTCATTTTATATTTCTGCTTAGTAGTTTATATATAAGAAGTTATACGTTTTAGGATTTATGAATGGTAGGTTCAACATGAAATGTCTGCATGTACCTTTTCAATCAAGTAATTTAAATTATTGTTTTTGAAATATGGACAGCAAGTTATTTGAATAATAAAAAAAATCAATTAAATCTTTCCTATGATGGCGCACCAGAAAGTACTGTACGTAAATATTGTTTTTTATTTTACACAGTTACATGGATTCGAAACCTTTTTTTTTTTTATTCTTTATATTTTTCTTTAACAAAACATTTTGCTTACAAGAATCCATAAAAAAAAATATCACCTGGCTCAGTATGGGATTTGCTTTGCGGCTACGGTTGTGTTTGGAATAAACAAGAGAACACAACATTTGATGCTCCAAAAACTGATGTTACCTGATGCATGCGCAGCGCAAAAGGTGGAGATGCACTGAATTAATCACCTTGCATTACGGCAGAGGCACGGCTGCATGTGTGCACACATTACCCCGTGTCCCCTGTGCTCCTTGAGAGAACGTGACATCGTGCAGCGATCTCCCCTCCCTTCTCCTGCCCGTGATCAGGCTTGATAAGGGCCCTGTCCGCTGTGTCAGTGACTCAATACCAACGGCCTTGTTCCCTCATGTTCCTGACTGAGCCGGGCTAACGCGTGAGGACAGGTTGAGTCATGTTGCTGGAGATGCTCCGCTGGCGTGTTGCCCGTCTCTTCACCTCACCACGGCCTCGTGGATGCAGCCTGACATTAGACTATGGAAGTGCTGCGAGTGTCCCTTTCCCCAGTATGACACTAGATGCCAGAGTTCAGGAGCGCTGCAGTTGCTGTAGTTTCTCGGGCTAGTTTATTCCACTTGTTGGTGTCGAGCTGCATTTGGGGCTTTTGCGTGAAGGGAGAGGATGCACATGTTTTGTAGTTTCTTCTCGTTTCTAACTGCTTTGGCAGACCTGTAAACTAGATAATTTAAAGGAAATTAAATTACAACGATTATTCAAGGAACTGAGACTTGATTGAGCTAAT